TGTGAGCCACTTTTATAGGCTCTCACTGCAGGCTACAGGGAGAAGGAGGGTGCTGGGATGTGTCCTTGTGCCCACCACGCCAGCAGAGGGGATTTAGGTGCTCTAGGAAACCCAAACTATTTTTAAGGGATGGAAACGTGCCGCGCTGGCTGGGCCCTGCGCTCCCTGAAATGAATGGCACGGGTCTGGACGGGGGCCGTTGTTTCGTAGCAGTCGGGAGCATGATGTCAAGGGCAGAAAATAGTGTTTGTTGTTATCAGAGTAAAAGCTGAATTTCTTACAGCCTTTTCCTGGGCTGCCGCCCCTTCCAGCCCTCCCCGGCCCCTCCTGATTGCTTTTCCAGCCCCGTTACACAACGCGCGGCCGCTTGGCTGAGCTGGTGGCGAGCAGCGTCAGGAGCTGGAGATGTGCAGAAAGGGGAACGGGGTTTGGTTGGGGTTTTAGGGCCTTTGAGATGAGAGGTGCCAAATCAGCAGGGAGTTCTGCTAACTGAACAGCTCGCGAGTGGGGCGCAGCCACCCGGGGACCTGGCATTGAGCAGGGCTTGGGGCTCGCGGACACAAATGTCCCCTTGGGGTTGGGGTTTGGGGTTTGAAGGATGGATTTACAAGGAGGTGAGGACAGGAGGGCTGCTAGCAGCACGTGGGGTTGCTTAGCCTGTCCTTGGAGGCTGCACTGTGTCGATCAAGCTCTGCCCTAAAGGAACTTCACGTTCCCATTCATCTGCTGCTGCGTTGTCCTCCAAGAAAACCTTTCAGAGGATTTCTGCTCCAGGTTTACTCACTGAGGCTTTCCCCCGTTCATCCCGGGTCTCTCCTCGTTGCTTTTCCTTCGCAGCACAGGCTGGGGAAGGCGCTGGGCCCCCACCCAACTTTGCCATTGCCTGTGGGTGTTGAGGTGTGTGTGAGCCACGGTCACTGAGAAGCAGGGGATGGGCAAAATTTGGGCAGCCGGACCCTTCAATGGGTGCAACCGCATCGTTAGAAGAAGGAATTACCCAGGAATTTGGAGTGTGTTGGAGCTGTTTTGTGCCACTGATGGCAGTTTGTATGATCCAGGCTTGCTTCATAGCTGGTGGCAGCCCAAACAGCCCGGTAGGCTCTGAAAAAGACAATTTGAGTGCTGGGGGCAGGCTCAGCTCTGAGTTACAGCTGTCTAAATCCAACCTCAGGGAAGTCAGGGGAGTTACTTGGCATTTCTGGTCAGTATTTGGGGCAGAACCTGGCTTCCCCCATATGCATCAGGGAAGAATTGATTTTAAAAAAGAGGGAAAAAAGGAAAATAGGTTGGTGAGAGGCTGCTCAGTGCGGGCTGGGTGTTGTGGTGCCTTCCTGAAAGAATTGGTGCTTTGGAAAAAGGGGTTGCCTCGAAGAGCAGCGGAGGGCACTGGGTTATGGCAATAAATAGAAGCGAGCGGCACTTCTAGAAACGCGAGGAATGTGAAAATGTTTAAATGATTTAGTAGGAGAAAACTTTATTTAAACATTTAATCGAAAAGCACGCTTTCATCTTTAAAACATCAGTGTTTGAACTGCCATCCAAGTTTTTTTTTTTTTTTTCTGGGCTTTCCTTGCACTTCATCATGCACAACACAAAGCTGTGCCTCGCGAAGGGAATAAACTCCGAGTCCCCCGTTCCCATTTGTTGTCGTTGCCTCAAACACACCTAAATTACAGCGAGGGAGCAGTTCCGGGGAAAACTGCTGAACAAGTTGTTCCCTGCTTTACTCAGGGAGATGTGCATTTATTTGAGGAATGGGAGCTAGAAGGCCCTGTGTCCGAGCAAAACCTCATAAAACTGCGCAGCTTGCCATATGGAAAGCGCCCTGGGTACAGATGCAGCTCTCAGCATGATGTTTTTTCCCCATCACAAGACAAAATCCACCTAAGGGAAACACATCTCCGTGTTGGGGTGCAGAAGGCAGATGAAGAAATCCAGGTTTGGGTCAGCCCTGGCACATGGCACTCAGAAGAAAATCGGTTAATCACTTAATTCTGGAAGAAAATCACTTAATTTTTGAAGTGGGTGCTTAGCAGAGGCTGATTTTGGATGTACGTCAGCGTTGGCCGTATGATGCAAAATCCAGGGCTTGCATTTCGAAGGGCAGAATCTCAGGGCTTCTGTCCAGAGTGCGGCCCACTGGGTGGCAACTTTAAATTGATTTTTTTTTTAAAAACAATGACACCGGAATTATACTTGCTGCTATGGCTTGGCGCACACAAACCTTCCATTTTGGGGTGAAGGAAGGGGATCAGCTTTGGAGTTATTTCCCATTTATTCCAGTGCAAGAAAGCACCAGCACATGAGCACGTGGCAGGATGGAGCCCATCGTTGAGCTCTGGGAGCTCTGTGCCACATCTCAGCCTCCCCACTGTCACTTCTGGCCCCTTGGGTCTGGGCTTAGCTTTGGAACCGTCCCCGTTTGTGCTCCTAAAAACGTCCCTGCGTGTGCCGCACCGATGGCCTGCCGTGCTCCGACGTGGAGATTTACGCTTCCTAAGTACACTGTAGAAATTTTCTAAAGTAGCTTAAATATTTACACAATAAGCATTTAAGGAAACTCTGTTATGTCTCTGAAGGAGCTGCTGCTCCTTTGGGCCCAGCAGACCATGAACGAGGTCTTTTTTTTTTTTAATTGTCTGACCTCCAGGAATTTCTTTTTTTTTTTTTTTCACCTAACTGTTTTGAAGCAGACAAACAAATGGAAATTCATACACAGGAACCTATAAATAATGTTAATGGCCTGGCTTGTGTCCTCAAACGCCAGGAAATTTAGAGGCATGACGGCGAGCTGGCCCCGGCCCTGGCTGGGAGGGGACGGTGGGCGAGGGCGGCGCGCGTCCCGGCGGTGCCACCCAAGGGTGGCTGTCCCCAGGGAACTGGGGGTGTGTGGGGACCCACATGTTCCAGTTCCCATTTGTCAGGGAGAGCCGTGACCCCGGGATGCTGAGCATTAAGGGGTTTGGGGTTTGGCATCGTGGTTTGCAGAGGGCTCTTGGACCACGGAGCTTTTTCTGGCATTGAGGGCGCAGTCGCGGTGCGGTGGTTTTGGGGCAACGTGAGCATCCCCGGTGCATCCAGCCCTGCGTCCCTCACCACTCCTGGCCAGCTCCAGAAATGCTGTGCCGTGCCCCAGGGCGGGCTCTGGTAGCAGCCACAGCTCTGCCTGCTTTGCCTTGCCCTTGCCCCGGGGTGGAAAACTTTTCTTTTGCCATCAAATTGGATTTTGTAAAGCTCCAGCACTGCTGCTCCTCCTCAGCGTGCAGCGTTGTCCGGCTCACACAGAGCCCTGGTGCCAGCAGCCCCTCTCGGGGCTCCCCACCAGCACGTCCCTGTGCGCTTCCCGAGATGCACGTTTTATTTTTTTCCTCCTGCTTGCACGGCAAACGGATGTTTAGATCCGAAAGGAAATCAGGTCGCTGTTTTCTCGGCTCCGCGTGCAGCAAACAGCCCTCGAAAATAACTCCTGCCTCGCGGTGCCAGGAAAAACAGCGGAGCCAAAGCGTTGCAAGCAAAGAATTGCTCCTTCTGTGAGAGTCCTCCTCTGCTGCTCCAAGTCTGCACGTCGGGCCCGTTGTTTTTAGGTTTTGTTTTGAGGTTTCGAACCCCGTGAGCTGTTCCTTCCAAAGCGAAGGGATTTAGCACGCAGCGGGCGCCAGGTCTCACTGGTGACTTCCTTGGACAGGGAAGCTTTGGGGTGGGAAATTGAATGATGGGTTGTCAATTTGGGACCCGGTGCTGGGACCCAAAGTACACGGTGCTTTTGCAGGGGTGACCAAGGTGAGGTGGCCCTGAGGGATGTTGGCTGGGAGAGACAGTGCTCCCTGGGGTGTCCCCGCGGGGCTGGGATCCCGCAGGGCCAAAATCCCCTGCAGGGAATTTTGGCCAGGGCTGTGGGAAGAGCTCTGCAGCCTCCGCGCAGCCCAGCCCGTGTGAGTCAGCCCGGGCAGGAAAGGAAAAGCTCGGGAGGTTTGGAAAAGCGGCTGGGAGGGCAGGCGATGCCCTGCCTGCACCCTGCCTGCACCCGCACCCCACCCCACTGGTACCCAGGATGGGATGGGTGCCACCAGCCCTTCCCTGGCTGCTGGCCCCCAAAAATCCATCACCCATCAGCCTCCGGCTTCTGGGGTGCTCCAGCAGTGCAAGAACCATGATTTTGGGGCAGAACCATGATTTTGGAGCCTGTCCCCATCTCACTGGGGACCGTCTCGGTGACGCTGCGGTGACTGCAGGCACCAGTGCGCCAGGGCGGTGCTGGGGAGCAGGGGCTTTGTTTTTCAACTTGATTTTATTTTTTTTCGTTGGGAAATGCAGCCTCTTGCAGTCATGCTGTCACAGTTAAAATAAGGTTTAAATTACAGGGCTGGCTGTGGCTTTTTCCCTTTCTTTCAGAATTTTTGCCAACTTGCAATTTACTTAATGAAATCCTGCTATTTCGTTTAACGGGGATATTTTTTGCAGATGTTGATTTAACCCAGCTTTATAAAATATGTGAACTGTGCAGTTTCTTTCCTATTTTTAACAATTTCAGGATTCTGGTGCAGTAACACGACAGAGTTTGTAACGTCGATAGCGTGGTTTGTTTGTCCCGTGCAAAGGCTGAGGTTGAAGGCTGAGGCTTTCCGTGTCGCTCGCGGCCGCTCCTCCCCATCAGAACCGCTCAAAATGTTGCAATAAATGAGCAAAAGGAATCCAGAGGAGGAAAGCGTCGAGAGTTGGAAGCTCTCTGCTGCTCCGTGCATGCATTTCTGCAAAATCTCGGACTGCTCTTGCACGCAATTATTCTTCAGGTGGTTTGGAGCAGAGGGTACAAAAATATTCATCTGTGTGTATCTGCTGTATGGATGAGCTGTAGGGGAACAGAAAGAGAAACGAGGCTCTCCCCGGTGGTTGGCAGGCTGTGTTTTTCATGGATTTCCCCAAATACGCCTCCCTTTATTTTTTGAGCTCGGTTTCCCTGGAGGGAGGAGGAATTCGGCGTTTCTCCGTTAGCGCTTGGCTGAGTTGGGGCGCGCGGTCTTGAGCTCGTTAGCCGTAACGAAGCGCTCACGTGCTCCGGTAATCTCCCTGCCTTTGCTTTACAAAGAGCCCGACCTGCTCTGCCTCCCTCCTGCCCCTCGACGCACGAAGCATCTCGGGGATGGCCCCGGAGGAGCTGCAGCCAGGAGCCTGGCACAAACCCACCCTGGAAAAGATCATTTTTAGCCTTAAATTTCAGCTGCCCCCAAGAACGAGGACGGCTTGTTCAAGGAGGGTGGGAGGGTTTCTAACCCCAACTGGGCCCTTTTTTGCCATCACCCACTCGTACACCCGGTGCTGTTGGCTGGGTTGTGCTGAATGTTACTGGAAATGGGAGCCCTGGAGCCCCGTCCCTGCTGTAACACCTCCAGCCCCTTCCCTTCGAACACCCAGCGGGGAGCAGGGGGATGGGGGTGGCTGGGATTCGTGTCAGTGCGGCAGGACGCGATGCATCCCACTGAGCTGTGCGTATTTTGGTATTTTCCTTTTTTTTTTTTTTAAAGAAACTGTGGTTTTCAGAAATGAAAACAAACGCTCCGTGGCCAGGGAGGGTGAGGAGCGTGAGTCACCTCCACTCGCCCTGTGCACACACGCGGCGAGGAGCTTTGTCCTCTCAGAGATCCTCAGGAGATGCTTTTGGGGACTTGTGGAGACCCCACGCTGCTGTCCCATGGGGGTCTGCAAACATCCTGGGGGTTACAAAAACGCTGCTTTCCCTCATCCCTCCCGTTTATCCCTTGCAGAATGGGAGGCTCAGTGGTCACGGCCGTCGTGGTGGCACTGTTCCTCCCAGGAGGCAGAAATGGCCAGCGTGGCATCCTCCCTGCTTGGCTGGTGAGGATGAGGGACCGGCTACGGGGCTTGGATCCGGAGATGCTGAAGTCATTGTTTAGTCTTTGCTTGAAGCAGGAGTAAGAGCCCGTGGACGGTGGCCACGAGCAATCGGTGGTGGAGCAAGCCGCTCGCTGCAGGGAAGGGCTGGAATAGCCCCAGAAGATGTTTACACATAAATACATGAAGCAGCTATCGGAAAATCTGGCGTGTGTGGGTGCACACGCATGCACGCAGCCCTCTGCACGTTCGGCCCGGCTGCGGCCGTGCAGACGTGCGGGAGCGAGCGGGTGCCGGAGGGCAGGAGCCGTCCCCAGCACCCCACCTCTATCCCAGAGCATTTCACTGCTCTCCACCAGGTAACACCCCTGGGACCTTCCCATAGAGATTTAGCCCTGCAGCGTGGCTTGCACACAGCCGGGATTGTTTCCTTGCAAAACCCAAGGTCTGTAAATTTCTGCTGAATTTCTGCAAAGCCACCGTGAGAGGACTCCGGGTGAACGCAGGCGGGCGCAGCCGCGATGCTGCAGCCCCGGGGCTCGGCCAGGCAGCAGGGCTGGGGGTGAGGTCTGGCTGGAAAAGGGTCCTGGGCTTAGGGCAGTGAGAACAGAGCCTGGAGCCCCTGCCTGGTTCCTGTATATGTAAGAGCATTGGAAAATAAATATATATATCAAGGTGGCTTGGGGAGAATTGGTAAGCCTGCAGGGAGGTGACAGCCAGAGCCCTTTTGGGGACTGAGGACAGGTTGGGATGTGGGGCTTGCAGCCAGTGTGGGTATCAGGGAAGGTTTGGGGGGAAAATCCAAGGTTTTGGTTCTCCCAGAGCTCCCAGGCTGGGATCTGGGGGCTGTGCAGGGCCGGACTCCGCACCCAGGCGGCCGGAGAGGAGCAAAGCGTCTCGTTCCCAGCCCCCTTGGAGAAAAACACTTGACAGGCTCCTGCTCATCGCCCCCAGGGAGCCTCCCCAGCCCAGCACTCCTCCGTGGCAGCTTGTTTTCCAGGTTGGTGATAGCTCCTGCAGCTCTCGCAGTCCTTGACACTCGCCGTTGGGTTGGCATCCAGCCGACAGCCATCTGTCTGCAGCGCCCGGCGTCGCAAAGATGCCGCTCAGGGCTGCACGGCGGCCTCAAGCCGGCCAGATCAGGGTGGCCTTGGGTTTTTTTTTTCCTCTTCTCACGTCGCCTGCCCCCTCCAGATCCCCTCCGTTTGTTTGCAGGCGTCGCAGCGATAGAGAGGAGAGCAGGTGGAGGCTGCGCCTGTGCACACACTGGAGGAGGTGGCTCAGGCTGCAGCGTGGTCCCAGGCTCTTAAAATACAGCTGGCGGTGGTGGTTGAGGTGGTGTGGCTTGGATTCTCCTCTCAGGGAAGCATCTCCACTCACTTTCTGGTTAGAAAATGCAGAAAAACATGGTGAAGCTGGTGCAGTCTCAGCTGGCTTTGTGGTCCCGTGCGAGAGCTGCAGCCCCAAGTCCCCAGCACTGCTGGAGGAGCAGGGTTTGTGCCAGGGGCAGGGCCCTGCTGGGAGGTGCTGAGCGTCCATCTCCTGGACACGGCTGATTTGTGGTGGGCAGGATGGAGCCAAGCTGGAATTTGGGGCTCAGGGTGGCAGGAGATGGGGCTTGGGGAGGTGGCGCGGCTTCTGCTGCATGCCTGGGTGTCTGCGCCTGCTGTTCGGAGGAGCTCAGAGCTCCGAATTGTGCAATAAGTGGAGTTAAAAAGGGCCTTAAAAAAAAAATCCGCTGTTTTCTTTCCATGGTGGGTGGAGGGGTGTGCGTGTGGTGTCATCAGTGGTCCTGCTGCCGTGGATGCTTCTGTAATTTTAGCGAGCGTGGGGAGCGGGGAGGTTTGGGCATCCTCAGAGGCATTTCTGTCACTGTCTCTGCGACTTTCTCACCACGTCAGTGTCTGGCTTCCCAAAACAGCTCCGTAACCTCAGCATCACAGCCCCCCTGGGCAGAAAACCCTCAGCTTAGTGCTGGTGGGCACCAGGCAGGGCTTGGATCGGGACGCGGAGGAGAATTATTCCCATTTCTCTTCAGAGGAACCTAGTAATTAGTTTTTGCTTTGAAAACACTTGGAAGCTCTCTGCTGCAACTGCTCCTCAATCAAAAACTGTTGTTATTTACAAGCCCTTTTCCAGTATGTTTCTTCTGGGGATGCTCCGAGTTGTGGCAGTGTTTCCAGCTCTGGCCATGGAGCAGACAATTTTCCTTCCCGAGAGCATCCCCGGGGATCTCGAGGAGCACCCAGAGCTGCTCCGACATGGCCAGCTCCAAAGCCAGCGGCACAGACGGCTTCAAACGAGAGCAGAGCTCAGCAGCTCCCTTGGGATTTGCCACATTTTGCTTACAGGGTCACTTGGAGGAGCTGAAAACTTAAGAGTGCTCGACCTAAAAATTAAAAAAAAAAAGGGATTTTTGTCTTCCCATTTCTTTGCAGCAGCCTCTCGCTGTCTTGCACTCTTCCCTGCAGATGGATTCAGGGAATGAGGCTTTTCCCCAGGTTTTAGTGCATTTTGTGCACCGTGCCCAGCAAACAAAGCTAACCCCTGCTAGGCACCGCTGGGGAGATTTTCAGCAAAACTCCCTGATTTTACGGCACATCGGTTAGCGCAGTCCCCAAACCCGGGATTTCGCAGGGCTCGGACGTGCCCAGGGCTGGCTTCCAGGAGCGGAGAAACCTCAGCCAAATTACGGCTGATGACAGGTCTGGTGCTTTCATAATTGGCAGCGACTGCAGGTGATTACGTTCTGGGCTGCTTTTGAAGATGTATTTACATTGTTGTGCTCGCTCCGACGTGCCAGGCACAGCGCGGTGCCTTGCACAACGCCTGCAAGAGAAGCCGAGGTTACACCGAGACTGTTGGACTACAAAAAATATCACCCAAATCTCCAAAAACATCGGCCTCGGAAGGAAGGCATAAAAACGGCAGTGAAAATACCTGAGTGATGCTCTTCCAGTTTTCTTACTTTTGGGGCTTTTTTCACCCTTGGCTGAAAAGACCTTTGGAAACCACGCAGGGGAGATGGAAAAAAATGTCCTAAAATCCCTTACCCAACCGTCTGGGCTGCGTATTTAATGGCTAGAGGAGGTACAGCGGAAACGACCCCCTCGAGTTCAGCTTGAAAATAACCCAGCTGATGCTGGCTTACGAATTTCAGGGCAGAACGAAACCCGGCCTGCGTTTGTCTTTGAAGGATATCAGAAATCAGCACGAGCTGATGATTTTACGGAGTGGTTCCTTCTATGCACAGAAAATTGTTTTCGTCCTCGTTCTTGGCGTTGGCCCCTGTCCTGTGTTGCTTTTGTTTCTCGGGCTGCCATGGAAATGTCCCCCTTTCCCCCCAGGCCTCTCCACGCGCCTCTTCCACCGGCTCTGTTGCCCGCCAGACCCTATTTTTTGAACTAATTCAATTAATTAACCCAGCGCAAGTGTTCTTCTGAGTTAATCATCTACTGGGTTAACGAATTAAATCAGCTGATGGAGGAGGCTGGGGGGCGGCAGAGCCTTGGTCTGAGGTAAGGGCCGGAGGAGGAGGAGGAAGAAGAGAAGGAGGAAGAAGATGAGGAAGAGGAGAATGAAGAAGAGGAGAAAGAAGAGGAGGAGGAAGAGGAGGAGGAGGAAGAAGAGGAGAAGGCAGAAGAAGAGGAGGAGGAGGAGGAAGGTTCCAGGAGCACGTGCAGGGGATGGAGGAGCTGGGACCCGTGGGCCATGTGGTAGTGCCACCAGGCCGGTCGCAGTGTGAAATCCTGCTTTGTACTGCAGGCCCCAGGCGAGCAGAGCCGTGTGCCTCAGCCTGGCATGGAGCTGGATGCTTTGTAGCACGGGGAAGGCACAGACATGAGGAGAAGGCCCAGGAAGAAGCCTGGGGCTGTCCAACCTCCGCTCCCCTCAGCTCCCTTCTCCTCGGCCTAGCCTGGGTCCCACCACAGCACGACCTTCGTGCTTCAGCAGGGAGACCAAAAAGTGAACGACTCCTGGGCCAGTGCTGGAGCTGGTGGAGTGGCTGCAGCCCCTCGAAGTCCCTCAGGTCCCTCAGGACCCTCCCCTGCTCCCAGCGAGGGCAGATGGGGCTGGGTGGCACATCCCTGCTGGCCGCAGCGTGCGGGCTCTGGGAGGGGGCCGAGTGGCACATTCCAGCTGAAACTTGTAAGGCTGAGGTATTTTAAGTATATTGGCTTAACGAAAATGGTTGGGAGCTTTGCTGGGGCAGATTGACAATTATTATTTATTTATTTTTTTTAGTTTGCAGGGCCATAAAAATTCCATTTCTGCTGTGGAAAGTTTTAACCTCTTCCTTGCCCCCAGAGCTCGTTTCTGAGGGCATTAATCAGGGATTTGAGCCGATGGCTCCCCGGTGAACTGTTAAAAGCTTTGGGGGAAATGTGTGTGTTCTTTGTGCCGGGCTCTTTATCTGGAGCCTGCTCCTGGTGCCCCTGTGTGGCTGTCCCCATCCTGCTGCCCTGCCCTGGGTGCTGGAAACAGGCTCCTGGGCTGCAGCACAGGGCAGAAAAAAGGCTCAGATTGGGGCTATGGTGGAGGAAAACTCAATGGGAAGAGCTTGGCCTTTGAGTAACAGATGTGATGGAGCTCAGTGGCCACGGGAGCGTTAGGAGCAACTCGGGAGGGGCATGTGGCTCCACCACAGCGATGGAGAATCCTGTTTCAAATACCCACCGAGCACTCCTGCGGGCTGGCAGCTGCCAAAACAGGATGATATTTGGGGAGAAATGGGGGCACTACTCCCTTTTCACCCCATTTCTGGCGCCCCATCATCACCAGATTTGATTTTGCAGGGGGACCCGTAGCAAGGGTCTTCCATCCCATCCTGCCTCTACGTACGACACCAAGCAGCAGGCAGGGACTGGCTTGGAAAAAGCATCTTTCTTTTTCCCCTTCTAATGAACTGCTTTGAACTCTGCTGGCATAAAGTGCTGTCACATCCCAAATCATGTGAAACCTCCCGTTATTTTCTTTACCTCCACGCTCCGCAGGGAGCGAGCGCTTACAGCGTGTGCTCTTTGCATTTATTCTCCTACCCGGCTCCCACTCGCCCGAGCCGTGCAAGACCATTTTCCCGTCAAGTTCTGGTTTTGATTCTCCGTCTTGCTTCCTATCTTGTTTTTTTTTTATCTCAAATTGTTTGAATTTCCTTTTGGATGTGCCTGCTGCAAGGCGCTGCAGCGGCAGAGGAAATGGTGACTGGGAGGAACGAGCCCCCGAGTAAACAAGGGCCGGAGTTTCAGCGCGTCCATCTGATCGATGGAGGTGGCTCTGATGGAGGAGATAGCCCTGACGCCAGCCCGAAATGTGGCTGTTAGAAGTTGGAGCTGCCTACAATGATAGTTGTTAAAAATGCGGCGTATACCATCGAGGGAGGCACGGCTGCACTCAAATATTTTCCTTTTCTTCAAAAAGAAAGGCAACAAGCACGCCTCTGTTCCAGGAGAAGAAGGGGAAAAAAAAAAAGTATATAAAAAAAAAAGTGGGTGTTGTTGTCTGTGCATAAAGGGCAGCATGGAAAAAAAGAGGAGGAAAAATGGAATATTTATTTAAATTGCTTTTCTGCCGGCCGCCCCTGCTGTCTGCTGAGTGGTAGCGGCTAATAGCTGGAGGCGAAACTAATACTTGGCAGCGGATAAGACACAGCACAGGCCCCCTTGTATTAGGGGCTTGCTGAAGTGCTTGCTTTATGTCAGGGCTGCAAGATGAGTTCATCTTTCCAGGGGTTGTTTGAAAGCGCTGGGAGATAAAAGAAGGCGCAGGAGCCCGCACAGCCGGGGCACGGGAAGGGTCCTGCGGGAGGCTTGGGGTCAGAGGCTCGGTGCTGAGCCTCCAGGTGTCTCCTCGAGGTGTCTCAGTGTGCCCATGGACCTTCCGTAAGGTGTCTCGGGTTCTAGATGCAGCAAAGCATGAGGTGGAAAAAAAAAAGTGATTTTTAGCCCATGGGTAGGTTGATGTCTTTACCCCAAAATGGGAAGCAGACACGGCGCCGAGGGTGGTGACACCCACACCGGTCCATGTGCTGCTTTCCTCCTGAGGTTTGAAGTTATCCCGTTCTTAAAGGAAGGGAAATCTGTGGGCTGAGTGGTAGTTTCTAAAAACTGAGGTAACAAACCTACCTACCCAAATACTTGGTGGAGGTCAAGAGATGAAATATGCAGCTGGTTGCTGCCAGCTTTTGGGCCCGGCAGATGAGAAGCTCCAAGCTCGTCTGTGGCCCCCAGCAGCATTTGGGTGGGACAGGAGCAAAATTTAGCATTTGTGAAGGGTTTTGGAAAGGCGCTGGGCTTTCCTTTCCCGGTGTTTTCATCATTTATGAACTATGCGATATTGTATCTCGAAAATCTGGAATCCCTTGCCTTTCAAAGAGCGAAATGCTCTGACGTCTGCATGGTGGTAGGCCAAGGGTTGTTAGTGGAGAAGGCCAAAAGATTTTCATTGATGCCAAGCTCTTGATTTTGGGGTTTGTACAGATGTGGCTGAGGACAGTCTCGCTCCAGGAATGGTTGATTCTATCAGACTGCGTTTGGGTCAGATTTGTGTTAATGCCACGTTGGTTAACAGTTTCTGCAATCAGGCACTTCAGCCTTTCGGAGTGCATTGGGTTGTTTCTTCAGCTCCTGGGCATTCAGGGGTGGGAGGTCATTTGAGATGGAAAAGCAAGCGCAGATTATTGGCCAAAGAGCAAGAAAAAGGGGAAAAACCTTTCTGTTTGCTGATTTTAGTCTAAATAGAGCCCATGTCAGGGGCTGTTCCAAACAGGGAGCAAAAAGAGGCACTTGGAGCTCGAAGAGGAGCACAAAATGCACTTTGGAGACCTGTGGCTCTTTGTCATTGCTCCATCCAGGAACAGGCTGGTGGCCGCAGAGCAGCTGCTTGGTCAACATCTCTCCTGGCTTTCTGCTGCTCTTGCTGTGGGGTTTGAAGACAAAAGCAGCCCCAGCTGAAGCGTGTCCCCGTTTAGCCTGGCCATTGCCACATCTATAGGGTCACACGCTGCAGGGCCTGCGTTTTCCCATGGCTTTGAGGCCCAGGACATCAGCTCCAGTCTTGGGAGGCACAAAGCTGTTGTTGTGCTCCTCCACGGTAGGTCACCAGAAACTTCCCACTTCTGGATACAGCACACATCAAACCAAAATGGGGCCGTTGGCATCTGTGTGGGGTCCTATAAATTATTTGAACAGATATGGGGGGGAAAAGGTCTGATCTGGGGTTTTGGTGGGGGTTTGGACCACGTGGAGGGGTCGGTGTGAGACGATGAGCATTGCCCGCGGCCAAGGGCATCCCGCCGGCTCTGCCCCTTCCCTGCTTGCCCGATTACCCCCATCTCCCTTCCCCTTAAATTTGCACAGTTACAACTCAAGTTAAAGTCTTCACAAAGCCGCTTAATTCAAAGATCGTTAATGGGGAGGGGAGCCCGTTCCCCTCCGGGGGAATTTGAGCCTGAAAAGAAACGGGGCTGCGGGGCTGTGCTTGAAATCCGGTGCGTCAATGGGGTCTCTGAAGCAAAATAATGGCATCACCCCGCGTGCGAGTTAATCAGACTTGATGGCACGGAGGCGGAGGGGTCAGCAGGCCGCGGGCGCGTGATATATTGTCAGGGAGCTTAATGCCGGCCGCGGAGCAGGGCAGAGCTCCTGGCTTGAAATCCCGGAGCGGTTTGCTTTTAACTGGAGGTAGGAGCGGGGCTGATGTCTAGCAAGAGGTTAATTTGCCCCCTCCGGGGCCCTTGTAGGGCTGAGGTTCCCATGTTCCTTCTGGGGGCATCATAAAAACTCCAGTGAGCTTTGAGCAGATTTCTGGCAGTCCGCATCCCTCCCGTCTTCCCTGAATGTAATTCCTAGAAAGAAAAGGCGTTTCTTATTGTTCTGGAGAGAACTCCAATGGCTTTATAGGAGGACACGTATAGTTCGGGGAAACTACTCCCCCCTTGGCATGAAATCCCTGCTCAGATTTCGTGTTGCCCCGTGGGAACTGCTGTTGAAGAATATTGCACAGAGAGCTCCTCACCCCAGCAGTTCGTGGGCATCCTCGGCGTTTCAGCTCAACCCAAGTTTGCCTTTGGACGTGGGGGTGCAGCACCACAGCAGTGCTGGAGGAGCTTGGGGAGCTACCAAGGTCCAAGGGTGGCCAAGCTGTGGTGGGGGTATCGGGGTCCAGTGTCCCAGTGGGGTCTGGGTGCTGGAAGTGGTCATGTCTTGAGTTCATGGGGTCCTGGCTGCTGGACGCAGAGCTGAGCCTTAAATCAGAGAGAGAAAGGGGTGTTGGGCTCCGTGGGAGCTGGAGGGTGGCCCATTGGGGCACCAGCCCTTGCTTGAGCCTTCTTTCCTGGGGCCATTTGACAGAATTGGTTGAGAACA